AAATTTTCAAAAATAGTCCCTGGAGTTTCGTATTTTTGGAAATAAATACCCAACTTCACAAATGGCAATAAAAGCTGAGAAATTGCAGAATTTTCAGTTTTGGTCCTTGCAGTTTGTGCGAATTTACGCTTTATGCCCGATTTCGCAAATAGGCTAGAGTTTCACATATTTGACTGTTTTTGGCGCAACGGGTCCCTGCAAGTTTCAGAAAGTGACAATATCTACTCGGATTTTGAAAAATCTTGCAACTTTCACCCAAAAAGTCAAAAAATTTCATAAATTGAAAATTTTTTGTGGCTTTTTCGTGATTGTTTTTCCGTGCAAGATTTTTGGTGATTCATTTTTGGTACACATCAAGGGGGAGTATCGTGAAGACTATTCCTCGGGCGCTTCTCATCCTTAGTGGGTTTTATAATCATTTTTTGATTATAAAAAGGGGGAGAATGATGGGTATTCAAAGCTTCTTGGGTTTTTCGAATATTCATTTGCGGATTTGAAGACCGGTGTTACTTCGAGGGGGAGTTTGGTCTTGATCGTGCTAGCTCGTTGGAGATTAAAGCCGGACATCGAATCCTAACCTTGAGGGGGAGAATGTTAGGGTGCAAAATCATGCTTGGATGTAATGTTTTAGGCTTTCCTCTTTGTATGTGTAAATGGGTTGAGTCTTTTCCTATAAATAGGAAGTGAGTGACTCCCATTATGTAAGAGTCCATTTTGGAGTGTTAGACTAGAGAGAGAAATTGTATACAAACCCATTTGTATAATCTTTCTAGATCTAATAAGAGCTTACAAAGATTTATTTACTCCTTGTGTTCTTGAATTTGTATGATGAATCACTAGATCTTTCTAATTCCGCACATGCCATCATAATCAGCACAACTACAGCCTGATGCCGGGCGGAGTACATTATATGTTTTATATGTATGGTATGTGGTATTTTGGGGAACTCACTAAGCATTATGCTTACGGTTTTCAGTTTATGTTTCAGGTACTTCTTGTTCAAAAGGGAAGCGCCCGAGATGAATGCAGTGCACACACCACATCGCTCCGCATTTTTATGTTACTATGATGTACTTGGATGTTATTGATACACTTTTATTCACCATGGTTTCTATGATGTTGTTTGGATAATGGTTTTATTAACTTAAAAATCAAATTTTTTAGTCTTAATTTTTGGGACCTTAAAATGTATGAGTGATCCAAAAACGTTTAAAGTATAAAAAATCCAAGAAATCTATAAATGATGTCGAACGAGCATTTAGAGTCCTCGAGAAACATTAACACATACTACAACATATGACACGTCCTCTAATGGTGGAAAATCTCGCTTGTATTACATATTCGTGTATCATTTTACATAATATGATTTTAGAAAATGAGGGCATACCGATTTGTCAGCATCAAGAAAATAAAAATGCATCCTCAAGTGTGTCAATACCGGCTGGTTTCCTTATGGCATACAAAAAGAATGGTGATACCTGACAATAAAAACATCACAAGCTTCACGTCGATTTGATGGAACATATGTATCGATTTAATCAAATTGATTTGAACAATAATATCGAAAAATATTTGAACCGATAGCTTTTATGTTATTTGGATTATCATTTGTATGTCATTATGTTAATTGTTTTAAATTTGTTAAATCAAATGTAATTTTTTCTAATTTTTAATAGAATATTATTTTATTTAATTAATATTTATGTTTTTCGTTTTTAAAAGTTAGTAGACAAAAACATCATCGCATCAAACTCATAGACAAATGGCGTGTTCGGCAATGAGCTTTTGAGAGCATTTAAAAGCTTCTAGTTTCTAGCATTTGACAAAATGTTCCGTTTTGAACAGACAACCTCGTTTGACACTATAAGTTTCTAGCGTTTAGTTTAAACAAAACACTTGAAATCCAAATGCTATTTCATGTGGTGTTTAATAAAACGCTACACGCCCAAATTATGACAAAAATGCTAAAAGCTTATGTGGTGCCTACGTGACATACTTTTTTTATAGGCAAAAACATCAATGCTCACAGACAAATTATGGCAAAAATGATAGAAATTTAATGTTATTTCGTAAGATAATTTTATAGATAATTATACTCCGAAGATTCAATTTTTGTGATCAGTTCATCTTAACTTAAAAATCTTTCCATAACGTAATCAGATTAAAATATATGGGTTAATATTGCGAAAGAAGTAAGATTGTTGAAATTATTATGTTTTAGGTTAAACTTTTTTATTTGAAAAAAAAACCTTAATTTTTTCACTTTTGTTTTAGATCTTTTATCGTTTTGTCTGGACCATTTTTTCATTTTAACCCATAGTAATTCACAACCCTATTCTTGTTGTTGTTTATGTTTTCAACGATGAAACACCATATTGTATATAGGACATGAATGAATGGTTTTTTTCTAAACGGTAAAGTATACACTTTAATATATTCTTAAAATTATTCCTAAAATTACTCCTCGGGAAGGAGGGAGTCATTTCCTTCCATCCCAGTGAACCCACATTACTTTTTCTTTTTTATTTTTCTTCATTTTTTCCAACACACAAAACACGAAAATTTTATCTTTTTGAACCCACTCAACAGTCAACCCACTCAAGTAAAAAAAATATAAAAAAATCAAAGGTAAAATCTTAATTAACAATAGAGTTATCGGCGGTACCACTCCCGCTTTAACGAGTGGGTTGATTGATTTCACTAACCCACTTCATCATCTCTCTCTATTTTCTCTTTTTTATTTTCTCTTGTACCATGTGTTTTAAAACTTGTACATTAGTTGTTTTGTATTTTTTTTAATTGAGTGAGTTCAAAAAGATAAGATTTTCTTGTGTTGTGGGTTGGGAAAGATAAAGTAAAATAAAAGAGAAAAAATGATGTGACAGTGGGTTCGGTGGGTTGGAAGGGAACGACTCCCTCCTCCCTTAATTATACTTATGTCATAGACTGAACTTGAATCCTTAAAAAAAAAAAAAAAAAAAAAAGTGTATATCACTATACTGCTATGCTAAAAGCTTGGTTGTGTTCAATTTTTGTTGACGCGATGTATATTGATATCTATTTGTAAGATGATCATAGATTGTTGACATGATAGCTGATATTAGTGTTAGAATCAAAAGAAAGACAAATCCTTAACTCCAATCTATTATTGAAAAAAAAAAAATTGTCTAGGTTTAGAATCAAAAGAAAAACAAATCTTTAAGCCCCATCTATTATTGAATATCTAATTTAACCTTTTATGTAATTTGATAAATAATGATATCATTATATTCCTCAAGTTTTTCCTATCAATAGTCATATCAATAGTAGTATACTAAACAAATTCCTCAATTGTATTGTTATTAATTTTGAAATTATCATATACAAAAGCTTCAATGTCCAAATTAACATATGCAAAATCATTTGTAATACAATTGCATCCAATTTAATAGATGTAGAACCTTCGACCTCTAAATAAACAAACATAAAACTGTGTGATACAAATTCATCCAAGTTACTCGACAAAAATGTTTTAGTTTCCAACTTAGCATATATGTGACCATTTGTGATACGATTGTAGACCGTTTTACAGGACATTGTCAAACTTTTAAAATTAGAATATATATATATATATATATATATATATATATATATATATATATATATATATATATATATATATATATATATATATATATATAGGTGTAGGTTCATTTGAGACCATTCTAATTTTGTGAGACCGTGAGACCAAATCTAAAAATAATTTTAAAATGCAAAATAAATGGAAAAAATCCAAAAATTCTTTTTTTAAATATTATTTTCGGAACTTGAATTAACTAAAAAAAATAAAATAAAAAATAAAAAAAATTCTGTTTTTTTTTTTTGAAAAAATACGTGAAATATTCTAAATAGAATATTATACTGACATATTCTAAAAAATAATTTTAAAATGCAAAATAAATGGAAAAATCTAAATATTCATTTTTTAAATATTATTTTCGGAACTTGAATTAACTAAAAAAAATAAAAAAATTCTATTTTTTTTGAAAAATACGTGAAATATTCTAAATAGAATATTACACTGTACATATTCTAAAAATAATTTTAAAATGCAAAATATATGGAAAAATCAAAAAATTCTTTTTTTAAATATTATTTTCGGAACATGAATTAACTAAAAAAAATAAAAAAAAAATTAAAAAAAATAAAAAAAAAATCAAAAAATACGTCTCACGGTCTCACAAAATATAGGTGGTCTCAAATGAACCTAACCCTATATATATATATATATATATATATATATATATATATATATATATATATCTTTACTACTTATAAAAGAAATCTAACTATTTCTATAAATAGATTGAATATAATAATATTATTTTTTAAGACGTCCAAACTATTAAGCTTGAAGTACAACCCATTTATAATATAATAATATTAAAACTTTAACCCTATCTTTTATCCCCTAAAAATCTCGTATCAAATTAATAGAAAAATTAATTTGCAAATTGAACCCGTCAATCTCAACACTTCAGCCATTTGAAGCGGTCAATGTCAACAATTTATACATGATCTTTTTTCTCACATTGGTAACAAGCCATCTCATAATATTTATCTTCGTAATCCCTTCAAAGTAAGAAATATACGCACACTCTCTCGAAGAACCCTAACCAGTAACCAAGACAGTATAATCACCACCACCACAGCCGCTCTGCCTCCTTCCGCCTTCAACCAACCACTATCACGACTACCGTCATTCCTCTCACCCACGGCATGAACTTTCTTTTGGAACATAACATTTTTCTTTAAAAAAATATCGTTGAAAGAAACTATTTGTCCCCGCTGTTGTGCGCGGGTAACGGCTAGTATATATATATATATATATATATATATATATATATATATATATATATATATATATATATATATATATATATATATATATATATATATATATATATATATATATATATATATACTCTAAAAAATCCGAAAATATAATATTAATCAAAATATATTCATCCCCTTATATTCAATTTTTATCAAAACTTAAGAGAGTGAGCTTGAAATCTTCCTAACGAAGGATGCGACCGTGGAGTGCGAAGAACTTCGGCCGAGGGCTATTTTTTCCCATAATCTTCTGTTGACAGAAGAAGAATCTACTTGTAGGCGAAGAACGCTTCCAACAACATCACCTGTATCCTTCGAGGAACTGGTTTTCAGTTCCGATCCCAAATTCAAATCGAGCACAACAGTTTGGATTCGAAACTTGAAAGATGCAAAATTGGTTTTCCGCCGGCGCCGGTGACAGTAGCAGCGATAGTAATCGCAATTCACTTCCAAAGACGCTGTCATCTTCCTCTTCGTCGCTGCTAGCGGATTGGAACTCTTATGCTGCTACAAAAGGCTCCGATGTAGGCTCTAGTAGCCTCGTTGGTTCGTTTGATATTGAATCGGCTGTTAGGTCTGCCAACGACACTGTGACTGGCACCTTCAATGTGTAAGCCGCTCTACAATTTCTTCCTCGGTTTATTTTACCAAACTAATTGAGTAATCAAGTTGCTGATTTGGGGATCCTTCCGTATTTCATTGATCTGTTTGAATGTCGATGAATTTTTTGTGAACAAACGACTGAACACTTGAATTGTCACTTAATAATGTTTACAATCAAGGCTAGATTGAGAATTAAAGAACAGACTCTGTAATCTCACACTTGCAATTTGATCTAGGCTTCGTGATCTGCAAAATTGAGCTTACGAATTCTCAGTTCTTCTTGGCTATTAACGTTAACCTAATAATCAATAACCACCTTCTATTACTTGTGCTTCGTGCAATTTGAAGTTGATAATGGCAATGCTTGATTATGAAAATTATGAAAATTGAAAAATGTCTGTTTGATTCTTGTTCAGGGTATCTAGAGGAGTGAGTAACATACCAGGAAATTTACAGTCTGCTACAAGTAACATCCCTTCTGGAAAATCTCTCATGTATTTTGGGCTTCTACTTGCATCAGGGGTGTTCTTCATTTTTGTAGCATTTACCATTTTTCTCCCTGTAATAGTAATAGTCCCTCAGAAATTTGCTCTTTGCTTCACTGTTGGATGTGGTTTCATAATCGGGGCATTCTTCATGCTTAAAGGCCCAAAAAATCAGTTTCTGCATATGACATCAACAGAGGTAAACTACTAAACCACTAAACCACAAAAAGAATCTTAATCAAAACATTGTCAAACATTTATTATTTTAAAAAAAAAAAAAAAAAATTGTTTCAGAGACTTCCTTTCACATTGGGGTTCATAGGCAGCATGGTGGGGACCATTTATGTTTCCATGGTTCTTCATAGCTATATCCTCTCTGTGTTCTTTGCTGTTATTCAGGTATGAAAATTCATTCTTGTTTTAAATTTAAAAAATAATAACAGTAAACATAGTTTTTTTTTAATCATTTTACAACAGGTTCTTGCTCTTGCATACTATTGTATTTCATATTTCCCGGGTGGATCAGCAGGGATGAAATTTCTAACATCTTCAATGACTTCAGCAGTCTTGAAATGCTTTGGGCGTTGACCATTGACCTTTGTGATTCTTCTGGAATTTTGTACTTTTGAACATATAGATATAGTCCCTTTATCATTACCAAATCTGTTTTTGAGATGAGTCGATTGTTTTTTAATCTAAATATTGTGATTACTTCTTATTCTTATGTTTTAATCTGTTTTGAAACTCCTAAATAGAAACAAAATACAAGGAGAACTAGATAACTTAATATTGAGCATTAGATCAAAGTCATATAATAGCTCTTTTAGCTTTAATGAGATGAACCCCAATCATCCCTTACTTGAAGCTCACATCATATTCTTTCTTTGGTTTTTGTGGTTTGTTCAAATATAATATCAACACATCAATATCCTTTCTATAGTTTTTGTGGTTTGTTTGAATTTATAAGGGAGTTGATTAATAAATGTTATAATCAAAGTGGGTATGTGCAAGATTTATCATCTTCAAAAGGGGTTGATTACTATCTTTCGGAAGACTGGAAATAGAGCAATGAATCCTTTTATGTTTAAGGACCGAGGAAGAGAGCTCAACCCACATTTGGCATAGACATCGTAGGCATCTAAGTTTAAAACCATGTGAACCATGCAACACAACTAGATGGTTAAAATGTTACCTCATGTGAGAGGACATATTAATAACAAAATTGCAAAAATTGTCTGTGGTTTGCAAATTTTGTGGGTAGGTCCAAAAAGTTTCAAAATTAGGAATTATATTATATAATATATTAAAAGAGAGTACCCCACATGAATAGTACTCTCTTTTGATTGGACACTTCTACTTTTTCTTTTCTGTTTTTTTTTTTTTTAATAATTTGTTGATCTTTTATTTTTTCCATAAGTGGTTAACACTACTGTTCATTCACAAATGTGTCATCTTATCTTTTACAAATGTTGCCACCGCCTATGGTTTCCCTCTCCCGTCAACATCAGATACTTTTCGACCCTTTTCCTTCCAAGTTCCACCTCCCTTCACCGACTCTACATCTAAAAAAAGACAACGATTGATGTTGAGACCGCAATTCCTCTAATTTCAAAACCCTCTAATACCTGTCGTCGGCTTCCAATAGACTCCGTCTTCTACCTTCCGGTTCTTCCCAAATCAACCACATGCTACAAGGAAATCAACCCCGATAACTCTCTTTATCCTTCTCGCCATTATTGTTTTCTTCATCTAAGGTTTTTTGCTTCGTCGACAACTCTGCTTCATATTTCCTCTTCTTCTGAGTCGTTATTGGGTTTTGGGGAAACGATGGTCGATGAGTGGATAGTTAGGGCTTCTCTTTTCTTAATCGGCTCACTTTTGCTTTTACTGTTTTATGAAGTAGCTGGTATTTTCCATAAAACTGTGGGTGATCGGAAGGAAGATGTGGAGGCATCGGGGGGCTGCTTGGGTAATTGGCAAGTTTGGATTATATTTTTATGTTCATCCTTCTCGACGCTTCCACCGCCTGTATGTGTCCTCCTCCAACTGTCGGCTTCTATTTCTTTCCTTTACTATTTCCTCACTGGGTTTGAACCCCTCCGAAACCTCGAATGTTTGTTCATCGCCTTCGATGAAATCGACGCCACCGTGAAAGGAAGACAAACTTTCGGTCTAGAACAAAATCACGACAGGAATAGAGCGACAATTATAACGTTTAACATTTTGGATACGTTCTATGAAGGTCATTTCTTAACCCTAACTTCAATTCAGAGGTTAATTTCTTAAATTTTTGACATGTTCGTCAATTTCGGAACTACAAGACAGACTGTTGTCGTTTATAGGAAGCGATTGTTTGGGATTTTGCTTTTCAATGATTCCTACCTATTTCTTTATATACACTTCGATCCATATGCTTATGTTTTAACTCAAATCATGTACCATAAGGTGAGAATTCTGATGTAGCTCGAGCTTTTGATCATCCATTTGATTTTTTATCAGCAGGTTGCTTTGCGACTTTAGGTTTGAGAATTTCCAGGTCCTACTATTATAGAATAAAATAATTCTGATGTAGCTCAATCTTGGTGTGATTAAGATATACTCAAGAGATACAAAATTACCTTTTTGATGGTTATAGGGAATCTTTGCTTAAAGTAAAGCAAGCTTTTGGGATTGGGTCTACTACAACTAACTTAACACCTGAAGTATTTTCAATGGTTGTGTTTATTGGGAGAATCTTGAAATCTTTACCATTTTTGTAGCTAGAAGAAAGATTGGATACATGCGGTCAATTTATTAAGAAAGTGATACAGTTAGGATTTTGATTAGATTGACCTGAAAATCTGCAACGGGAGACGACACATCAAAGAATGTAATAAATTTCGACCTAAATTTAGGTCCAGTTATTCATCCTTCCCGTGAAAACAAACCAGGTGGTTTCAACTTAGAAGATTGGTTAGATGGGCATGTTGGGTTTTATTTAAAAATTATTTTCAAAAACTATAAATAATTGCAAACCAAAGACTTGAGTTTTATAAATAACATAAACATTTATCACCCACCAAGGATCATCTTGGAAGTAGTAGAAAGATTTAAAGCACAACCATAGAAGGAAGAAGAATCAACAACCTTTGATAAAGTTTGGGTCCTCTAGGGGAGGATTGAATGTGGAAGAAGATGGATGAACTTTAGTACACCAACAATTGATCAACTTGATGTAATGCTAGTTACAACTCTTAATCTTTAAGTCAAAACAAAGGTATGACTTAAAGAGAGAATGCAAGTAACTTCTAACTCTTCAATACTTGCAAGAAGGTAAGAGAGTGAGAGAGATGAGAGTATTTTGGCCAAAAATGATGCAAGAGAGTGTGTAGCAAATGAAAGCCTCTAAAGCCTTCATAAAGCAAGAATATTACCCACAAGTCTTTAACCCATTAAGCACTCTATGCACCTAAGGCTACTTGTCTCCCCATGCTTGCACCTTACCGATTTCTTTTTAATAAACAAATCAAAATACCATAACTCTCTTAAATAAAAGAGTTTTGGCCATATATATATATATATATATATATATATATATATATATATATATATATATATATATATATATATATATATATATATATATATATATATATATATATATAGGTTCAGGTTCATTTGAAACCATTTTAATTTTGTGAGACCGTGAGACCAAATCTAAAAATAATTTTAAAATGCAAAATAAATGGAAAAATCCAAAAATTCTTTTTTTAAATATTATTTTCGGAACTTGAATTAACTAAAAAAATAAAAATAAATAAAAAAAATTCCGTTTTTTTTTTTGAAAAATACGTGAAATATTCTAAATAGAATATTACACTGACATATTCTAAAAAATAATTTTAAAATGCAAAATAAATGGAAAAATCTAAAAATTCTTTTTTTAAATATTATTTTTGGAACTTGAATTAACTAAAAAAAATAAAAAAAAATTCTATTTTTTTTGAAAAATACGTGAAATATTCTAAATAGAATCTTACACTGTACATATTTTAAAAATAATTTTAAAATGCAAAATAAATGGAAAAATCAAAAAATTCTTTTTTTAAATATTATTTTCGGAACATGAATTAACTAAAAAAAATAAAAAATAAATAAAAATAAATAAAAAAATGCATCTCACGATCTCACAAAATATAGGTGGTCTCAAATGAACCTAACCCTATATATATATATATATATATATATATATATATATATATATATATATATATATATATATATATATATATATATATATATAAGATGGATAACTTATATTTTATAAAACCTAAGTTTATAAAATATAAATTGTCTTTTGCTAAAAGACAAAAGGTTTCAACTAGTACAAAAAGTTGTGCATGACTTATTAATTCATTCCTTATGAAATAATGTGTTACTTGTATTATAAAATAATTATTTTAATGAAATAAATATTTTTCCAATTTATTATAAGACGTTTATGAATATTTACTAAAATCAATTTCTAATAAATAATCAATTGTATCAAGTTGTTGTTAGTGTAACCCTTAATATCATATGATATTTAGCAGTATCATCTTAATATGACTCGTGAGCTTATTAGATCTTTCAATCTCCCACTTGCGCAAGACTCATATCATATTGATATAGATAGTGCTAAACGTCTAGCAACATTTCACTGCCCCCAACAACATATGACATTGTGTCATTCCATCAACTCCCAATTCCGCAGAAGCCCAAAGCTACAATTGGTGTGTAAGGTAAGTTTATCAGTTATCCCTTTGCTACATAAATCATATTGAACATGAGATATAGATCACAGTCAATCTCATATAAGTGTTCAACTTTACATCAGACCTTAGATGTCTAACTCTCAACGAATAAGAGGAACAAATCTCATCTTGACTACATATGCCTCTTACATGGTTCACATCATGCCCGATAATAGCTTTTAGAATTGCCTGTGTAAAGAACAACATTTGACTACATCAAAGCATAACATTCTCGACACTCAAGTCCCATATATGTATCTCAGGTGTTAAGGATATACAGATATTACCTTTATCAAGTATCATTCATGACAGTGATCCACGAAATGATCTTGAACGGGTCAGTCCAATACTTGCTCTCTATCAAGTACCTATGAAACTGGTTACAACGCTTTGTCAACCATTCCAATTCATATTAGTCTTACTTTATTACTCTTCCAACAATAATAACCGACTATGGATTTTAGAGTGAATAAATTTGCTCATGGATTAAACATGTTAATAAAGAAAACAACAAATATTTAATGAAGAGATCATATGCCATATATATCATAGTAATTAAAATAGATGATGTTATAATGTTCTAATACTCAATATTAGAACATAGATCAAAGCCAATCACTAGAATAGAGAAGTCCTATTCCTCAAGCATGACCTTTAAACTTAACTTGAGGAAGGGGATTCGTGAAAGGGTTCGTCAAATTTTGATTAGTGTGAATTTTGCGAATACTAATTTCACCTACTTCAACTTTATACCGAATGAAGTTGAATCTTTGGCTAATATGACTGGTCAGCAAAAGCACCCTCATTGTCACAGAAAACATTTAGGGGGTCCTGAATGGTAGGCACTACCCCTAGATCTCCAATGAATTTATTCATCCAAGCAACCTCTTGTGAAGTTTCAGAAGTAGCAATGTATTCTGATGTAACGCCCACAGATTTGGGCTAGTCAATTTAGAGACAATGGGTATCAAAACTAAGTTTTTTATTGGAAGATTATTTAGAAGGATTAATCTTAACAAAGTTATAGTATATGTTACAAGGGTTCCATACATATAAAGAACGCCAATATTCGATTTATAACGAAGAAGTTATGGCCCGTCGAAGTTATACGGCGAAACTGGCACGACACCTTGTAACGTAAAAAGTAAAATTTTGATAAACTAATTTTTAGCCTTAGATATCTAAATGAAAGTTGTAATATATGTTAAACCAACAGTGTACATAAAAAGAATGTCAATGTAACGCTCAGATTTTTCAAAATAATTTTTCATTTTTCAAACAACATAAACCATCATTTAATATTTTGAAATCCATGTTTAACAAATGTCATCGTAACAAAAATACATCCCAAGATCATAAAACAATTCTTCCTTCAGTGTGTACAGATCACGCCGGCGCCTTCCCACGTTCCTCACTTGTACCTGAAACACATAACACAACAACTGTAAGCATAAACGCTTAGTGAGTTCCGCAAAATACTACTTGCGCACATACGCCCTTCCAGGCCCTGACCTTCCGGTCCATGTGTCACAGGGGACTTCCGTCTCGACCCGGTAAACCTTCCGGTCCTACCCGTGTCGATCTTACGGTCCACATCACAACGCCTTCCGACCCATAACATATATGCCTTCCGGCCCATATCAAGCATAGCATACATAGCACATACAAACGGTTAACTTATCATATACAATACATACAACTCATAACATATCCGACCATCCGGACACACAATAAAACCCTTCCGGGTACAGTATAGTGAGAAAACTCACCTTGCATGAAGAATCCACCTCTAGTCGCGCTGCTGCTAAACACCAATCTCTAACTCTGTGTCAAAACCCACAATTAACCCAATTAGGAACTAAGTCCAACCTTTCACTTACTAGGTCTAAAGATAGACCATCTACCGGCCCATTCTTGCCCTAATCCATTGGGCCCACCAAGGCCCAATAATAAATGGGTTTCCCTAAGGCCCAACCTCACCCTACAAGATAAGCCCAACATGAGGCCCAAGACATCAATTAATTTTCAGCTCATATGCTCAACTACGCAGGCCCAAGGATTCAAGCCCAATACTCAAAGCCCAAATATCAAGTCTAGTCTAAAATCCCACAGAGGGGTTACGCGGGGCGTACCTCCTTGGTACGCTCAGCGTACGCACAAACGCCCAAGGACTGATCGGGGACTTTAACCCAGTACGCGGGGGGTACTGAAATTACACGGCGCGTAACCTCGTTTATGCTAAATCCATTTTATGGGTCTTAACTCATTAAGACCTTAGCTCATCTCTTGGATCTAGGCTTCCTAACAGTCCTTATTCCATAAAGTCATAAACTTTTAGCCTTTGCATGGCTGAAGTGATCGCAACACACACAATACTCCTTCTCTTTACTCATTAAGCTCTCCATTCATGCATGACCTGATCTTAACCTTCAAGATCTTATTTTTATGAAACAACTCCATCAAAAACACTCAAAAGGACGGCTAAAGGGCTTTGGAGTTTAACAACTCACAAAGCTTCAAACTTTAGGACCAAAAACCCTAAAATGGACCCTAATATGAACAACACAAAAGAAAGGGAAAGCTTGGAACTTTATACCTTCAAATGGTGCTCTAGCCCTAGGAAAGCTCAGGTCCAAAGCCTAGACTTCAATTCCATTATCTTCCATGCTCCTTCTTAACTCCCAAGAGTCCACAAGAACACATATAAGCTCAACAAGGCCATAACAAGCTCAAGAACAGGTATATAAGGGTTTGAGAAGGTTTTTGACTGAAGAATGCGGCTGGAAATGAGACTCTCATTCTATATATAAGGCCTCTCTCTTAATTAGGGTTTTTGAGTCTGGGCTCACTACGCCCAGCGTACCGTGTGGCTTCCGTGTCCAACTTAATCGCATGAGTACGCGTAGCATACTCCCTTGTACGCCCAACGTACTCGTTTATGACAATTCTCATTTATGGATCACACTTGACAATTTAGCAGAAGAAGA